TAATAATAATAATAATAATAATAATAATAATAATAATAATAATAATATAACAACAATAATAATAATAATATCCAATTTTACGTGTTGCTGGCTCACAAAGTTAATCAGGTTAATTAATTAATTAATCGGATTCCCAATGAAGAAAAGCCATAATTTAAAATAGGTAGTAGGTTTAAGAGGGGGCTGTGAGCGTTTGTCTTCAAAGCATTCTGGGATAGAAAATAATATCCCAAATAATGCTCCAAATATTGCCTCCTCCTCTTACATAGATGTGCTTTGATGTCCACAGAGACATATGAAAAGGTGGAAGTTGCAATGCGATGGTGCCATGTGGCTGTGGTCATTTTGACAGGCGCACTGGATTTGCTTCCGATTTCAATGAAGGAGACTATTTGAGGCTCAGGGTTGGTGCTCTAAGTGGCTTTCTTGCAGGCTGTTTTCCTCAGCACCGCACGGTGTTCTCTAGTTTGGGTAATGAAATGTCTGCAAGGAAACAACCAGACTACCAAAGACCCCTTGCTCTGGATTTCTTGCAAGAACCCGCTCCTAGCAACGCCCTCTGCAAAGCAGGAACCTTAAGGTCTGTTGCAATAATTAACTGATTTCCAAGTAAGAAGTGAGGCGAAGAGCTTCCTCTTGAATTACCTTGGAAATCTTGAGCTGTGTAGATGCCAAGTGCTCGAGACAGGCATTTCCTTAAGATGTTATCTTACAACTAGTAAAGTCTGAAATTTACCCTGAGAATCCTGATCCGCCAGCCTTTCTACAGAATCTCTCCCTTCAAATCTCTCTCTTTTTTTCCCCTTTGTGCGCCCTCAAGCCATTCTTGGCTCTCTGCTGTCTGCCTTGGTAAGCCCAAGCTGTTTTCTCGGGCAGATTTTGGAAGTGGTTTGCCTGCATTCTTCTTCCCACACCTAACCGCCTCTCACACCTGCCCATTAAGTTTATTTAACACTCCCTCAAGAATCTGAGGACAGCACCCCACATAATGGGAAGGAATGTCGGAGAAGGTGTCCCATTTCTTTTAACGCCTGGCTGTTCTGCCTAAAGAGTTGGGCAGAGAAGGAAGACAGACTTGGCTTTGCTGTTGAAGGACAATCCAAACTGTGGAGATGACAGCAATTCAATGGGTTAAGAGGGGATCAACCACTTTACCACCCCAACAATTGATTATCTTTTAGATGTTTACGTTCCTCCCTTTGGACAATGAATGTCATGTAATCTGCTGCTAAGGACTCACCTTCCATTGGGTAACAAACCCACCAGGGTAGTGCCCGACACCAAAAGGCTAATACCAGTAAAAGCCAGGGCAACCCTACAAAAGGAGGGAAAACAAGGAAGTAAGGTACAATTAAGGCATAGCTGGCTGGAGAATTCTGGGAGTTGAAGTCCACAAGTCTTAAAGTGGCCAAGTTTGGGGACCTCTGCTATAGGGTGTCGACCTTGAAGCTGATCTGACCCAAGCTATCTTGACAGCTTCAGAATGGCCACACTGGAGCCGAGGGGTAGGGAGGGGGGGGGATTTGAGAGAGCTGGGATTCTGTAGCCAAAACAAAATATTTTCTCTTGGGATCCAAGGACATTGTCACACGTGGTCGGAGGAAGGAGGAGTTGGTGTCACCAGGCAACCAGACGGAGCCGCGATTGGACCATGCGACGGATCGTTTTGGGGGAAAGTGGCAAAAAACGTTTTACTTTTAACGAGGGGAAAACTGCGGGAAGACTTCAGAGTCGGTTTTCACCAGATCTGTGCAAATATGATATGCCCAACAAAGCCATTCTCGGAGGGATCTCTGCCTGCCTCGGAGTTTTGCTTGATGATGGAATTATATTACTGGGAACCCTGAAACGGGGCTTGTCCGGGAGAAACGATCTGGTGTCCCATCTTCCCCCATCGCCCCCCAAGGAGAAGCCCAAACCTGTCCCTGGCCTTTACCTGAGTGGCAGCAGGAAGCAGTAGCGGACCACGAAGCCCACCCCCCACAGGATGGTGAGGCGCAGGCTGATGTAGTGGAAGTTGTAGTTGGTTCTGCTCAGCAGGTTCCAGGACTCCAGCTCCTCTGCGGAGAAGCGCTTGGTCACCTCGTCGTCCATAATGCTCTCCACGCCTTTGCGGCAGAAGTAGAAGATGTCGGAGAGCTCAAACTCGGGGGCATCCAGGGTCTTGTTGCTGGAGCTCTTACGGTTCTCTTTGATCTCCTCTTCCAACGAAGTGGGCTCTTTGGCAATGATTCCTGCAACGAGACACACACCTGTTCCAGCCGAACGGTAGGAGAAACGGTGCCTGGCGCACCACCACCACTCGCACCTCCCCTGCTCTTAAGAAAAGGCACCCGGCCCTCTTACCGTTGACGTAGGGCTTATAGACGGTGTGGTTCTTCTCTTTGGCGCCACGCTCAATCCTTAAGGTTGCCCACTGCAAGGCATAAAGAGAAAGAAAGAAGAAGTGAGATCTTTCAGAGCCGGGTGTGAAATCTTTGAACCAGGGTGCTGGCTCTGTGTGTAGATGGTAAGGAGTGACAGGTTTAGGGAAGCGATCGGAGGCTGGCAACTAACACAATGTCTTAGTTTTATCCTTGGGGCGGACAAGCAAAAGCTTGCCCACCCCAAGGATAAAACCACCCAGATGCAAACTGAGCGACGTGGCGTATGCAGTACAATGCAGTGAGCCATGCGTAGATCTGTACAACAACCACTTCACCAGTGCATGGCTCAACATAGGAGAACAAACCCCTCAGGGACTAGATTCAGCAGTCCATCTGCATTTAAAAGAGACAGGCCGCTCTTTTGAAGACAACAAAGTCCACATTTTGGACAGGGAGGACCGCTGGTTTGAAAGAGGGGTTAATGAGGCCATCTATCTCAAAATTGAAGAGCCCTCCCTCCAGAGGGGGAGGGATACGACATCGTGTATCTCCAGTGTACAACACAGTCCTTGCAACCGTTCCAAAAAGGCTCCACACCCATTTGCATCACTCGGGCACAGAGGAACCTCCAAGTGGCCTCAACGACCCTCTAAAAGGATGCAAATGACCAGCTGTCTGCAAGGAGTATCAATCCTTCCATTCTCCACCATCCTGTCAGAGCTGAAGAAGCTTCTTGGATGAGAAGCAAAACGTCTTCAAAGGAAAAACCCAGAAAGTCCAGTTGCCTCTTGCGAAAAGCACCTTGGGGACAGCCAGGACTTGGTGGACTGAGAATCTCCCTCCATAGATATAACGCACTGCCTGTTTGGCAGTTCATCTAACATCATGGGGTCCAAAAATGAAAATGGAGAGGTGCTAATTTCCTGTCCCACCAGCTTCCACTAGGCTGGAAGGAATATGCTGGACAGGATGAGGTCAAATCCAGAAGCTTTGGATAAACAGCTCCTGCATATGCTCTGTGGGAAGAAACTTGTCAAATTCAACCCTCAGCAACCTGCAGTCAAAAGTTAAATTCTGCCAAATTATGGTCAACAGAGCATGCAAAACTGTATTAGATAACTCTATTGAGCTTGACAGTGTGACCTAGTCACCCATCTTGCTAAATTGATGTTATTAATTACATTTATGACCACAGACCCAAAGACTGCTAAGCTGTAATCTGCTTGATATCTTTGTTCTTAATGTGCTGTGTAACACCAGCTCCTGTGATTTGTAAACTATGGATCATGTATTATTAGGCTGTGAGAACGATAATTTTAGCTTCTTCCAGTAATAGACAATTTTTTTTAACAATCGAGGGATGAATTATTCATTTTTTTTCTGGAGGTGGCTGGTTGAGCAAAGCAGAATTTTGGAATATTCCTTTATTTTTTAAAGTAGTAGAGCAATGAGCTGTTTTAGGGCTTATACTGTATTGTGGCACTACATGTGAGAAAATTGCATCTCTCACGTTTCCCTTTTGACCTGGATTGCTGAAAATTAACGCCACGCTTTGCCAATCACAAATATAATAAGCCGTGGCATAACAGGAACCAGTGTGGAACCATTGAGTCTGTCCTGGCCATGGGCTTCCTCTAGAGTAGAGGATGAGTCGTTAGAGAGAAGGGATGTTGGACCAGAATCCTTTGGCATAGAACAGCTCTTCCTGTCATCTTATCTCTGCCTCTTCTGTCATCATTCCTTTCTTATCTGGCCCATTAAGGAGGGGAAATCAAACTGCATTTTAGGTTATGGAGGCGGAGGACACACCCACCACCTGAAATAATTCACTTTGCTTGCAGACAGTGAAAACTTGCTCTTTGAGACTGCTGGGGCAAAGAGGGAAGCTTTCCAGGGGCTCTAGTTAAATCTGACCATGGATTTCTTTTCAGCTTTTTTTTTTTTTTAAAAAAGAACTGGCTGGTTCAGATGACAATGGAGAAGTTATTGTTGCTTGTTGGCATCTGCAAGTTTTATTTGCTTATTTTTCAATATTCCACTCTAAGCACCTTCCTTTTGGCAGCATCTAAGATCTTGACGACACCTCTCGACGGGGGCCTAGAATAAGACAGGGAGAACAATGCCTAAACCTAGTTGGTAAGAATAGAAGCTCGAGGCAGCTTCCGCCTACTTAGATGAGAGGTCTGAAAAACGAAAAGTGCTGGCTTAGAGTCAAAAGAAGGAAATTTTTTTAAAAAAAAATCATAACTGAAACGCAAATCCCAGGAAGCTTCAGAGAGGAAAAGTCAGACTCTATGTTTAAATTGACTTCCAAGTTGCAGAATAATCGGCAGAAAGCCCCGCTAGAGCTGCCTTTGCTGCTAGTTCCTGCCTGCCTGACCTTTGTATCCCTGGTGTCAGACAGGCTGCCCACCGACCAGGCTGAAAGGGCGAGGGAAAATGCCCACGTTCTCAAAGATCCCTCTCATCCAGGGAACCCTTTTTTGGAACTATTACCACCTGGCAGACGGTACAGAATAATAAAAACAAGGACAAATAGGCTGGAAACCAGCTTCTATTCCAGGGCAGGAGCTCTGTTGAATTCTACTGTATAGTGCAGTGCTGGTGTGGTGTCGGGGGGCTTCGGTTCAATGTGTGGAGGGTGAAGGATGTGTGGGTTTATTTTCATGGTCATGATGTGCACTGAAGGTGGCGTTTGACCTCGTTGTATGAGGTGCAAGGAGAACAAAGTTAACGAAACGAAACTAAAGCAAGGTGCAGCAGAAGAGGGAAGTATGGAGATTCTCAGTCATCCAGGTCCTGGTTAGGTCTTAAAGGTGCTTTTTCAAAGAGGCAAAACTGGACTTTCTTGGTTTGTTTGTTTTTTCTTTGAAGACGTTTCGCTTCTCATCCAGTCAGAGCCGAAGAAGCTTCTTGGACGAGAAGCGAAATGTCTTCAAAGAAAAAAAAATAAACAAGAAAGTCCAGTTGCCTGTTTGAAAAAGCACCGCTGGGACGGCAGAAGAGGCACTTCTACCTGGCTGATTCTGAACGTCCTGGGCAGGCTCTCCGCTCCCTTCTTGCTCCCTCTGGGTTCTTCCCCTTTTTCTTTTTGGACCCAAATCCTTCGTTTCACACCACAACATCCACACGGTCTCCTGGAAACTAGCCTATCGTTGCATTAGAGAGAGATCGGGACCACCCCTAGGGCAGCCCCCCCCTCCTCACCCCATGTTTCCTGCCCACTTCCCCTCTGAATTTAACACAGGCTTCATTAAGAATCTTAGAAGGACGACCATGCCTGTCCTACACACAGCCACGGATGATGGTGCCTGGAACTCCTGGAGGAAATACGAAATAGATACTCAACAACAACAAAAAAAGCACGCAGAATCCAATTTCTTGACAGGCTCTACTTTCATGCTGAAAAGAAGGGGAAAAAGCACCTCTATAACGGCCTGGTTTGGCTCTGCAACCCAGGCAAGACAGACACAGACTTCAGAGGGTAATTAGAACTGCAGAAAAAACAACGGCTACCAACCTGCCTTCCATCGAGGACCTGGATCCTGCACGAGTCCAAAAGAGGGCTGTGAAAATATTTATAGACCCCTCACATCCCGGACATAAACTGTTTAACTCGAAATGACACTATCGAGCCCTGCGCACCAAAACAACTAGGCACAAGGACAGTTTTTTTTTCCTGAATGCCATCACTCTGCTAAACAAATAATTCCCACAACACTGTCAAACTACTTAGTAAAACTATATTACTATTATTACTCTTATCCTTCCTATTACCTATCTCTTCCCACTTATAACCGTGTTCCTTGTATCTTTACAATTTATATTTCTTTTATTTGTTCCCTGGTATAATTTGATTACTTATTAGTAACCTATGACTGTCACTAAGTGTTGCATCTTATGGTTCTTGGTGAATGTATTTTATTTTTTTCTTTATGTCCACTGAGACGCTTATCCACCAAAGACGAATTCCTCGTGTGTCCAATCACACATGGCCAATAAAGAACTCTATTCTAAAACAAGCTGGGATGGGGAGAAGGAACGCAAGCAATGCTTGAAAGGTAGCTAGAGAGATGACTTTGAAAGATTTTCAGTCCCAAGCGTAGCATTCTGACCTATGTCCTACAAAATACGTTATGCAAAATAAGCATGCTTGCGTTATACAAGCTACGCAAAAGGACACACAGATCTGGTTCAGCTGGACAATTTAAGCAACCCCACACCAAAGCTGGAATTTTGGGGGGGTGTATTATTGTTTGCTTTTCTTAGCATGGAATGTGGTCAGATCGAATCCTCCAAGGAACGTCAGAAGCCCCTCATATAAAAAAAAATTACCTACGTACATTCAGCTGACACCTGGGGGAAAAGTATTTGCAAAGGTTCTGACTCCCAAAACGGTTCCCACTGAATCGAACGCCCTGTGGAAATCCCTGGACACAAATTAACACTCCCTCCGGGTTACAGGCAACTCAGAGGTAGAAGGTCCTCAGGTGGCCATCAGCACGAAGGGATGTGGTGGCTCAGGCACTAAGACGCTGAGCTTGTCGATCAGGAAGGTCGGCAGTTCGGCGGTTCGAATCCCTAGCGCCGCGTAACGGAGTGAGCTCCCGTTACTTGTCCCAGCTTCTGCCAACCTGGCAGTTCGAAAGCACGCAAAAAATGCAAGTAGAAAAATAGGGACCCCTTTGGTGGGAAGGAAACAGCGTCCTGTGCGCCTTTGAAGGCGTTTAGTCCTGCCGGCCACATGACCACGGAGACGTCTTTGGACAGCGCTGGCTCTTCGGCTTTGTGACGGAGAGGAGCACCACCCACCAGAGCCGGAAACGATTGGCGCGGTTGTGCGAGGGGAACCTTTTACCTTCACCAGCATGGTGCGGGTCAGCCTGCTGCCCGCCATCTCATCCTTCAACTTCCGGCTGGTGCTTCACCAAGGAATCAGCCAATGTCCTGGGAAATCTCCCTGAAGGACACTCGAGAGCTATGGCCTGAAATGGTTAAAGAGTGGAACGAAAAGCAGCAGAAAATGGAAGTTCCTATGATGGAGAAGCTAGGAACAGGGGGGGCTCCAATGAAACATCCGCTGAGGAGTAAGGTTGCCAAGTTTCTAACTGCACCACATTATTTGGAGCGGTCCATAGAAAAAGGACAGGTTCCTAAATTATCTCTGTATGTGAAAAGATGGAACACTAAAATTGAGAGCTGGATTCTATGTGGATAAGTACAAAAGTAATTCTTATAATTTGTACTTGGTCAAATAATCACAACATGCTGATAGAATCTGAACTAGGGTGGGCCAGGTCATGAAAGGGATTTTGGAGTTGTTGTGCATCGAAATACTGACCCAGAACTGCTGTTCAATACCCTGTTTTGATTTTTAAAGATGCCTAAGATACTGCTGTCACCAACTTCCTTTCAGAGGAAACCAAAGAAAATCTCTAAAAGCACTCAGCTATCCAGAGTTGAACAATGCCATCTTAATTCTCCTTTATTTCCTGTTTTTTATTTTTCCATAGTTTATTACTGTTAACAGGACATGCTTTCAACACAATCTATTGACGCAGTACAACGATTTGATTTTAGATGATTTCAAACACAATGAACATTGGGGAAACTGAAGTAATAAATGCTCTTATTTTAAGACTCGAAACTCTCATGTGTATTCTGATTCTGGCTAGTTTTGGAGGAATAAGGAAGAAAAGAGGATAGGTAATTCCCCAGTGACCGGCTCGCTAGGTGTAATTGTTTGTGTGACTGCAACCAGCCAAGACTCTGGTAGAATTAATGAACAGTGGTTTAACGGATGTACGGGGTCCCAGGGTGCGCATCAAGTTTTCGCGGGCGAAGCAGCCCTCAAGAAAGTGACAAATGGAAAAAAGAGGGAGGTTCTTTCACGCAACGGCTTCAAGGTGACCCTCTCAACATGATGTATAGCTTGGTCTTAAGTTTCCACCCCTGCTTCCATCCTTGAAAAGTGATTTGGAGAGGGGGGGGAGAACATGGAGTTACAAGGCCAGCTTACGCCTGTTCACTGTCTTCCTTTTGGGTTGATGTCAGAGTCCGTATTCGAGCGGTAGGAGAACTGCTGTTGGGCTACTCTCTGTATAGCTCCTCCATTCTGACCTGAAAGCCATCTCCACCCGGGGGAAATTTTAATAGTTAAGCAACACCTTGCACCTGCCTGCCAGGGACATCTTCCTTTGTCCTTACGTAACGCTGACAACCCATAGTATAGCTGGACTTGCCTGAAACTCCACGTTTCCTAATCGAGCAGACAAGACCTGTGTCGAAAGAGCTGCTGAGTCATTCCTTTTTTGTGCTGGTTGCAGGAACAACCCAGCCTCAGGCTGCTCCACGCCCCCCCCATTCTTCCCCCCCACCCCCAGGAATGTTAAAAGCATGGGAAACTCACCTGGAAGATCTGCAGAAGACTTTTCATGTAGAGACGGCGGATGCCAAAGGAAACGCCAAAGATGGCTGGCACAATGATGAAGACCAGAAGCAAAGTGAAGAGGACGGTCAGGGAAAGGCCCAACAGGTTAACGACCAAACTGTCAACAGGCAGCAACAGGAACATGATGAAGGGGAAGGAGGCAGGCTAGGCCAGTGCCCTGCAAATTCCCGACAGGCAGAAAGAAGCTGCCCTGGGCAGGCAGTCAGTCAGTCAGTCCTTTCCCCTGTCAACCAACAACAACTTTGAGTGTGCAGCAGGTCTCTGGCCTGTCACAGGGGCCATTTTAGAGTTCACACCCTTCCTCCGGTGGGCTTGGGGTGGCCAAGGACCCCCATGATCTACCCTGGAAAGAGGCACAAACAGAAACTGGGAAGACTGGCTAGGGGCGAGAGGGTTACGCAATGGGTCACTGCACAAGCCACTGGCAGGGCAGGGAACAGCTCCCCAAATGCTGGGAAGAGAAGTCTTGTTTGAGTTTTCGGAAGTACCCAACGTCTCTTTGCAAGAACGAGGTGCGCTCCTTCTCTTGCCCTGCATTGGCGGAAGAGCTGGCACCCTGCAAAACTAGCGCCCTTGCCCCTGGGGCACAAGAGCCAGCCCTGGTTGTCTCGTGGAAATTGTGGCAAAACTCCTTCCAAGGCTCCTCGATCCCATCCACCGCCGAAAGCTGCAAGATGTCTTCTTGTCCATGGAAGATGTTCTTAAAAGTAGAGCCTTCCCAGATCCCAGTCACTAGTGAGGAAAGAGAAAGAAAGAAATCTCAGTGCAACCACAACGGAAGTACGGCGAGGCCACATAACCACTTACTTCTCTTTACAAGAACAGACAGGGGCAGCAGTGTCTCACTCAAAAAGCAGCGAAGATAAAAGCCAGGGATAAGCAAAGCAGGTCGTAAGCTTAGTAAGATCTGCTTATAATTGAGGAATCCTTTTAGGTCCAAGGACTCACAAAGACTCTTCCTAGCTTAAATATTCACCGGGATTTACGTTACTCATCTGTGGTCTTAAAAGGAAGAAACTTCCCCTAATTTGGGGAAGCTTCCTACCTATTCCTTAGAAGGAAACTGTGACTTGCCAAAGTGACCAAACAAAGTGACTAACTGTAAGCCTGGCATGCGGTCACAATAATATAATGGAATCCTAATCAGTACAAAAAGCGTTGTGCCTATAGAACCCCTTTCTTCAATCTGGTGCCCTCCTAACATTTGGGGACTTCCCATGGGTTGGGAAACTTGGGAGTATACAATTCCAGAGGGCAGCAACTTCAGAAGACGGATAGAGGTTATTTCCCAGGACTATTTTTCAAGACAACATGTCTACAACTTACATTGCTTCCCAACAACATGTTATTACTAAGGCGTTGTCTATTTTTTAAGATACTGTACTAAAATCTTTCAAAGAGGAAAAAGTCACTAGACAAACAGTATGGACGTGAGTGAAACACTCTCCCGCAAGCGTTAAAAGGCCCCATTTTCTAGATCAGGGGTCTCTAACTTTGGCGACTGAGCCTGGAGGACTTCAACTCCCTGAAGTCAGGCAGGCTTAAAGTTGCCAGGGTTGGACATCCCTGATTTAGATGAATCGGATGCAATGATGCCTTGCATTGGGGTCTTTTCCAGGTGGTCTCAGAAGAGGACCATGGATCAAATTATGGAGGGAACAGTCCTGAGAAAAAAGGTAGTTAAGGGACCTGTGTTCTGAGCCACTAGAATATATCGAAAACTCTAGCACTACCTGCCACGGAATCACAGATTTTGTCACAAATCAGACATTTTCAAAGATGCGATTCCCGTTTTTTCTTCAAAGACAGTCCTGAGGAATTACACTAATAAACAGGAAAGATGTACATGGAATAGCTAAAAAAAAAACAAAAACAGAAACAAAAAGTGCACCTAATCCACACACGCTGAATCTGAACCCAAATGAACAGATCGGGAAATCCCCCTTTAAAACATCTCTAGACCTCATGAATATAATGTAAAAGTACAACCTAATACATGAAGCACTTCACCCTGAGGAAAAAAAAATATATTCTAATTTATAGAAAACTCTGCATTTTACTCACGGCAAGCATTAGGTAAACAGAAATCACATGGGAATGGAATAAAGAGCTGGAGCTACCATCCAAGGCGTTTCCACTTACAGTTAAGAGGCAGAAGCAAAATGAAATCTCTGGAGAGCAACTCAGCTCCAGGCAGCCTTCAGCGAGATCTTAACTGCAATAGCTTATAGCCTTGCATCACAGCTGGAAGGGAACAGCAATCAGATGTTTGCAACCACGTGTAATCCCTACACAGTGTTCCAAGAGATTCCAGAGTACAGGCTCGGGATGACGAGTGGGTTTTTTTTTTTTTTCCATATACAAACACACCAGAATCATGGCAACCAACTGCCTAACCAGTTCTCAAATGAACTAACCCAAGAGTTATTAGCAAGAGGGACAGTGTACCTGTTCCCCCACGGGGCTAACAGATCAGAAAGGTGCTCCTGACGCAAAACTAGAGCAGAGATCTAGATTAATGTTGACCGCGAGACAGTTGATTATTACAAGCCCAAGGGCGGAAGTAAAAGGTATTTAATCTGATGTTCTCAACATGTATTTGGGTGCAATTCCCAACTTCTGTAGCCGATTTGTGGGAATTGTAGTTCAGATTGTCTGGGGAATACCTGACTGGTAAAAGGTTCACGTAAAGATGTTCCGCATCGTAGCCATCAGGAAAGCCAACTCTTAAATGACAAGTTTATGACTTCGCAGTGAAATCACTGACTAGCTGTTACGACATTGATTAAATTCTGCAGAGGGAGATTATATTGTTTGTCTTAATATTGCATCAATATATTTACTGGAAATGGTAGATAAAAATGGTAATTCATCAATTAAAGCATGGATTCAATTGCTCTAATGTTTCTCAACCTCAGCAAATTTAGGATGTGTGGATTTCAACTCCCAAAATTCTCTAGCCAGCATGAAGAATTCTGGACACTGTCTCTTTCCCGGCTCAAGAGTGACCAATTTAGAAAACTAATTAAGAATGAATATTGTATACATATTGCACTTCTGGGAGATGAAATCCGTGCACCTTAAAGTTGCTGCGGTTGAGAAATGCTACTCTAAGATGTGACAATAGTCACTGATTTATTTAAGCTGCATCTTCAATGTATATTAACAGATTTTTTTAAAAAAAGGATTTGACAAATTCATGCAGAAGAGACTCGTTAATGTCCGTAGGCCATGACTGTAAAATTAAATATCCAGGGAGTGAAAAGCTCTCTGATCTGATATTGGATGGCATTTTGCTTTCTTGCCAAGCTGCAAGGTTTTAAGCAGCCCTAATGGTGCATTTTTCAAAATGAACTTCTTCAACTGGTAGAAACTTGGGCGAGCTGTAGCTTCTCCTATTTGTTACTTAGAAAGTCAAATAAAGAGTGAGAAAACTGGAATGTTGCACAACCAGCATACACTCTTGGTTCCTCACGTTATTGAGATTGTAGTCCAATTCTGCAAAATTTACGAACAAGTTGCTACAAACTCAGCCTTTAAAATGTTTCCTCTGCATAAACAGTCAGAGCATGCAGTTCTCACCAGCCATGGGCAGAGAGTATTGTAAGCCACTAAAACAAAAATAGCTTTTCTTTTTATAAGGAGGGGGTAGACGCAATCTGTTAAACTTGACAACCATGGCCCTAGATAATTTAGGAGTATTTAGTGACATAATACATTGAATTTAGAGGCCACCCAATTCCAGATGACTTATATAATGACAGTAAAAAAAAAAAAGAGAGAGAGAGAAAGAGAACATCATGACTGCTTAAAACAACATTTACAAGTAAAGGGTACTTTCAAAAGCAAGGAAGCTAACGCAACCTCCCCACCTCTCTGACTCAAAATAAACAATGACTGGAATATTCATTGACTGGAATATTGGCTCCTATATCAGGCTAAGACATAATTATGCTTAATTTGCTTTTGATTTAGCATATAATATTAACTAACTATTGTCATTTGTAAGCTATAATTTATAACTGAAGATATTGCAGGAACGCAGCTGTAATTTAATAAGCCACAAATATGTAAGCCATCGGAACCAGCAGCCCACTGTTTTGTTTTATGTACAATATTTAAAAAAAAAACTGACTAGGATGCTCTTTCATTCAATGTATTTCTGAGAACCCTTATAATGAATTTTATCAACCTAAGTTACACAGGCAGCTATCTCGTTAAACAGTTGTCTCTGAATGAAGCTAACGTACTTTTCATGCTTTGGGGATGATACCGATGTCATAGTACAGGTGGTCCTTGACTTACGAACCACAATGGAGCCCAAAATTTCTGTTGTCAAGTGAGACATTTGTTAAGTGAGCTTTGCCACATTTTACGACCTTACTTGCCATGGCTGTTAATTGAATCACCGCAGTTCTTAAACTAGTAATCTGGCTTCCCCATTGACTCTGCCTGTCAGGAAATTGCAAGAATTGATCACGTGACCAAGGATACAGCAACTGTTGTAAGTGTGAACCAGTTGCCAAGTGTCTGAATTTTGATGGCATGATCCCAGAGATACAGCAACGGTCGTTAAATGAGAAAAATGATCTAAGTACTTTTTTCACTTTTTTCAGTCACTAAACAGACTGTTTTAAGTTGAGGATTACCTGTAGACACCATCCTATTTACTATAAATAAATATATAACTGAAAGCAACTACAAGTTTGTATTCTTCTTGTGTTCTTTTTCACTCTTTATTTTATTGTTCTATTGTTTTAATTCTGTTTTGTTCACCCTCTTGTCATTTCCTTTGATTGTTGTAAGCTGCTTAAAGTTGCCCCAAAGCAACGTTAGGGGGCAAATAAATTTAACAAAATAAAAATAAAATAAGTAAGTACAAGTATCTCCAAAGCACAAGAGGGCAAGGCAAGATCATAATAGGAAGATTTGATCTGTAACTAAGGAGAAATTTCCTGCCGATGACAACAATTAATCAGTGGAATGGCTTCCCTTCAGAAGTTGTGGGTGCTTCATCAGTGGAAGTTTTCAAGAGGATATTGGACAGCCATTTGTCTGAAATGTATATAGGGTGAGTTTCCTGCCTGAGCAAGGGGCTGGACTAGAAGACCTCCAATCCTGTTATTCTGTGTTATCCTATGACCATCATTAAGTGTTGTACCTTATGACAAATGTATCTTTTCTTTTTATATACACTGAGAGCATTTGCACCAAGACAAATTCCTTGGGTGTCTAATCACACTTGGCCAATAAAGAATTCATTCTATGTTATAGTATCTGCTTGTTCTGTAGAGCTTACGAGCACTTTTGTTAAAAATAGCTTATATTTTTAAATACTTATTCAAATGGTTAACTGATATTTTAGGAGCTCAAAAGATTTTAAGAAAAAAAAAACACCCAGTTTTTGTCTAAATAGTGCGGGCACACCTAAGTATTGTTTTCTGTATTCTGTATTCAATTCAATATTGTTTCCTGAAAGTGTAATCCTACTCAACCTGACAGCTTGCATAAGTATATTCTGTTCAAAGAATATGTATATATATATGTATATTCTCTTCAAAGGCTGGGATGCTGTTTCTAGCTCTCTCACCATCATTGGTACAGATGGGAACAGGGAATATGGTTAAAGAATCTGAAATAACCTTCTGGAACATGTCATGTATTTCAGTGTGCACTTAAAAACCTGGCTCCTAAGATGATTGGCTGTATTAATGTAATGTTGAATTTGTTATTTTTGGCCAGCTTGGATGGCTTCTCCACTAGAGCAAAGTAGCTCTCATCAATCACATCCCGGACATAAACTGTTTCAACTCCTTCCTTCAAAACGACGCTATAGAGCATTACACACCAGAACAACTAGACACAAGGGCAGTTTTTCCCTGATCGCCATCACTCTGCTAAACAAATAATTCCCTCAAGACTGTCCAACTATTTATTAAGTCTGCACTACTATCACTATTTTCTCATCACTCCTTATCGCCCATCTCCTCCCACTTGTGACTGTAACTTTGTCGCTTGTATCTTTATGATTTATATTGACCATTTCCTAATACAATTTGATTGCTTATTGTACTCTATGACTATTATTAAGTGTTGTACCTGATGATTCTTGACTCTTGATGAATCTTTTCTTTTATGTACAGAGAGCATTTGCACCAAAGACAAATTCCTTGTGTGTCCAATCACACTTGGCTAATAATGAATTCTATTCTATTCTATTCTATTCTATTCTATTCTATTCTATTCTATTCTATTCTATTCTATTCTATTCTATTCTTCATCCAATATCTATTCTATTCTATACCCCAATATTCTATTCTATTCTATTCTATTCTATTCTATTCTATTCTATTCTA